CTCCGAGCGCTCGGGCATCACCCAATTCGGCAAGCAACGGAAGCGAACAGACAGTTCGATCATCCAACAAATTGACCGCTTTCACCCGGTCCGCGTACGTAATGATCACATGAAAAGCGGTTAGACAAATACCCAACGGGGTACCGGGGCGTTCGACTAATCGGAGCAGCGGATACGGTAGTAGTTTGGTGTTCTTGGTCAAATTGACCCCACGTCCGGAGAATACATCCGGTGCATCGGACGCGGTCTGATCGGACAAGGTAGACGCGTTCGGTCCCTCGCTTGTTCCGTTAGCCCGATGAGAATCGGGGGAATTCGCAGATCCCGTGGAAAATGGAGGTAGTCTAAGTTGTTCGGACTTCAAATAACCGAGGTAGACACCGGGGCCTGGAATGAAAAACACACACGAACATAAAACAACCGACAGTGAAAACAACGTACAAAACTCGGAGGGGGATGAGCTCAGCATATTTGAAATGGGATAACAAACACTGAAAGATCCATATTCATTGATGCGGTATGATGTAAAAGTAACTGTACGATCAGCAAAAGTGATTGAAACGAAAGACAATGTTATGCTTCACAGCGCGATGCGAAAATGCTGTGAATTTCTTACCGGTCATCCATGCGAATCGATCAGGTAGTTCTGCGTCCGGCGGTTGATACAACTTCAAATCACTATAGCCGAAACTGTGAGGAAATTCGGTCACTTTGCTACCTGCAAAAAAAAACAGAACCGTATCGAGCATATGTTAGATGAACTGACTAGACAGGTATATACACATAAATTTGATAATAAATAGTATGTGAATGACTGGACAAAATTTCCCTGGAAGCACACGACCGGTTTCACGGTTCTTGCCGCTCGTCAGGCAGGAGTATCCGGTAACCTTTTGTCAGTTCATTCATATACTTGTACCCAGGAAGTGTATTTTCGTCACAACGATTATATATATATATACATATCACCGGCTTCGAGTAAGGGAAAGAGAAGGAGCTGGAATACATAGCACGAGTAAAACGGGACCAGACAGTCAAGATGAATGACGAGAATAATGATATATCGTTTGTTTCAACGTTCACTTGTTGATGTTTTTTCGTGTGTTAGTATTTAGTCTTTTTTTTGAGGCACGGGATTTCGACAGGTAGACCGGAAAGCAATTACGCCACTGAATTCTATTTTGGGCCATACCTCTCAGTGTTTCTAGCCAACGACAATCCTCATCCCTTGGGCCCCAACCTGGAAGGCCGGCTGCACCAACCGAAGCCAAAGCTGAAGCCAACTTCT